ATTTACAGATGTCTTCTCGACCTTGCTTAATGACGTTGGCCGTACAAATGTGACATAGCATCGGATCGACACTAGAAACCATTCAGCTACCAAGTTACATCCTTGGTATCTTCCATTCGCAAAACAAAAAGTTAGGAAATTTCTAAAGGAGATGCAGGAGAATAATGAAGAGCGGTTGCTGGTAAATGGATGTAGACCCTCAAGATCGGGAAAGATTGCCTTTAACACTGGTCAAGTACCTTGGCAGTTTAAAGTAATGCCTTTTGTACTGAGCAAAGCTCCAAAGATATTTGAACGTCTAATGGAAACAGTTCTGAAAAGGTTCTCATACGAAGCAGACCTTGTATATATCTCTCTATGATATTATTATTGTTGAACGCACTTTTAAAGAACATTTTTTAAAATCATCTAAAAAGTACTAGAGAACCTCAGTCCTTCAAAATGTAAATTAATTCGTCGAGAAGTTGGCTATCTTGGTCATACTATCTTTTCCGAAGGTGTACGCACAGATTCTGAGAAAATGAAAACTGTTTGTGACTGATGTCGTCGTCAAGACAATCGTCAGTTAAGACGTTTTTTCGGCTTCTGCACTTACAACAAAAGATTTGTCAAACGTTTCTCTAAATTCGGAAGCCTTTTGCACCATCTGACAGAAACAAAACAAAATGTTTCGTGGAATAATGAGTGTAAGAAGTATTTAGAACCCCGAAGAATGTTTTCATTTCCTGTCCTGTGTTGGCTTATCCAAAACCGAAATACGACCGGATTCGCCGTATAGACGCCAGCGACAAAAGAACTACAGCTGTTCCTTTACAAAAACTTTATGGCCAAGAGTATGTTATTGTCTATTTCAATAAAAGTCTCTCTAAACCTGAAAGAAATTACTGTGTCACCAGGAAACTGATCATTTCCACCACTATCTATTTATTGCCGTAAATTCTCTACTGCCACAAACTACGCACCGACCTTGTGTTATTAATTTGGCACTTGAATTTCAAAATTCAGGAGGGTCAAGTCACTAGATATAGGAATATGGCATGGAAATTCCACATAACAGATGACCTTCACATGGGAATGCTAACGCACTTTCGAGAAAACTTTGTCCATAAAAATGGCAACACTATTTGAAAGCTGAGTTAAAATATGACTTTGAAATTCTAGTAATCAGACAAACTGACACAGACTCTTCAACATCAGAGACTAATCCTTGGAGCAGCGAGGACTGAAAGAGGCCGCCTAAATGTAAGATCCTGAATGGAGGCCATTAATGGAATTAATGGAAACAACTAACGAGAAACCCAGCTGGCAAGAAATGGCATCATTTAGTCCTACGATGAAAAAAAATATTGGGCTTTGTGGAATACCCTTCTTCTGCAAAATAGAATTCTCTACCGCAAATGGGAAGCTGATGACGGAATATTTTCGAATGGCAGCTCATCTTACCGAGATCTCGAGTGCGTACTGTTCTGTCGGAGCTTAATAGCAGCCCTAGTTGAGTTCATTTTTGGTGTAACAAACACACTCCATCAAGTTCGTGAAAGCTTTTTCTAGGATGAAAGCCGAAGCAGGCGTAGAAAAGTGGTTCAAATTATATGATGCGTGTGAAGTGTGAAGAGATCCGAAAACAAAGTATACGGGAAAAGTGCCCTACAGTGTGAGAGCATCATTCTAGAGGATTATTTTGGACATTTTAGGGCCTTTACCTAGTGCAACTAAGCGTAACAAGTACATTCTAGTTCTCATAGACTACTTTAGTGAATGGCTGGAATCTTATACCCTCAGCTTCAATCGTTGCAGAAGTCTTAGTGAAGAAATGAATCTCATAATCTGGATTGCCTTTCCTTATTCATTCTAAACAAAGAACGAACATAACATCTTCCATGTTTAAAGGATTTTGTTGAATTCTCGGAATGGAGACGACTCAAATAATTTCTTTACACCTACAGTCAGATGGCATGGTAGAGAGATTCAATAGAGTAATCTTAATTAATCTCTCTCTATTTGTATCCCAAAATAAGCAGGACTGGGATCAAAAGCTGTCATTATTCCTGCTAGCGTTTAGAGGTGCCGTTCATGAGAGCACTGGATTTTTTCCATTCCAAATGATTTTTGGTCATAATCATTATCTACCGTGTGACCTGCTCAGTCGCGTTTAGAAGACGTTCATCGGTTCCAAGACAGTACCAAGAAGTACCAAGACAGCCACCGAAAGGATAAAGACGAGATATGATGCCAAGTCGACAGAGAGGGAATTCAAGGAAGGAAACCCGAAACTCCGAAGCATGACATGGGATCGCTCCGAAGCTACAGACATCCTAGAGACGGCCCTACCCTGTGATCAAGAGACTGAAGATGTAGTGGTTGCTATAAAAAAAATCCCGACCTAAAGTACGGTTGACTTGCACCTTATTACGCTACGATAATTACTTTTCCTTGGTTTTGTGGATTGCACTACTCTCGGATCCTGAAGGAGGGCACGATATTGTAAATATTCGTAAATCATTTTAATCCTTCTTGATTGTATTTTTGATTTTCTGTATTATTATACTATTTTGTAGTGTTGTATTTATTTATCATTTTTAGAGTCGTAATTTTATGCTTTATTTTGCTTTTAATGACTTGTAGACTTGTATAAGCAATTATTTGTTGTAGATTTATATATTTTTTAGTTATGAATACAACGGCTTTGGAATTGTAAAAAGCTCAATTAGAACTCGACATATAGACAATTTCGATCCTGAAAGGACATTGCAACAAATTTTTGATTGGCGACATTTCGCGATATCCTGGAAGATACGAGAAAACATATTTTCGAAGCCCTACAGCCGATTCTTCTAGAAATTTTCAAAGCCCATGTTGCAGAGTTTAAATACGGGTCGGAGAGCTAGAGAGGTCAGTTGTAAATCAATTGCTAATGAGTTGTGAGCTTATCGGTTAGCTGAACAATGCGTTAACGTTTACCCTGAGAGTGAATTAAAGGAGGAATTGCTAAATATTCGCGTTATTTCCAGCTGTTATTGTGTTGGATGCTATTTGTTGAGCTTATTTTCCTAATAAATTGTTCATTTCTTCCTGGTTATCTAAACTCATTATTTAAACAAATATCAACGATCCCATAGCTCGTAACAATATGTTATAAATTTTCAACATCAATGGATGCTGCAGGATTACTAATTAAGGTACACTGGGGAAAGGACAGTTCTATATCTCCCGTTCTACTGGGCCGATTGACGAAATTCAACTTGAATTTTTCATGTCTCGAAAGCAAGACATAGGATATGTGTTAGACTTATACATAACCTTGTTCTAATATAGGTATTTTGACACAAAATCGGACTTTTCCTGAAATAACATACCAATTATTTTCCGTATTTCCATTCTACTACTCAACTTACGCCAAACTACCAAGTTTTGTAAAAATCGCACGAGTAATTTAAAAAAAAATAGCTCTTAAAATTTTAGCTCCTCAATGTTAATTGAGTTTGGTATATATTTATCAATCTCTCTTTTTTTATTAAACTTGTTTGATTCTTCCTTTCACATTTCAAAATTCAGGTTCATTCCAAATAAAATTCACCCACGTTTTATGATTGATTTTTAAATTTTTTTTTTTTTTTTTTTAAATAATTTTATAATTTTTCGAAAAAAAATTTTGAATTACAATCTATAAAATTTTACCATCATCTTAAAGTAGACCTATTTCTTAGCATACCTGCAAAAAAATAGTTTTTTATTCAAAATTTCAGAAGATATACGTAAATTTATATATTGGTGCGTTTTGAAATTTGGCATATTTGTTGAAAGCGATGAAACATCAAATGTGGTTCAGACACTTTGCTAAAATTGTTTGAAAGTAGGAACGATGTAACTTTCTCTCCGCTCATGCACAATGTAAAAAGGTAGGAAGGAGTTTCCTTTTTTTCTGCTCCGGCATAATGGAAGGAAAAGGAAAATTGGCTGACATATATTAAGAAGTTTGCCAAGTGAATTATTCTTAGCGCAAATTGAAAAAAAATTTCGCACCAAATTTCACAAAATTTAATATCTAGGCATAATTTGAATCGTAGAATCAAAATATGGGGAAAAATTGGTATGTTATTAAAGAAAAGTCCGATTTTGTGTCAAAATACCTGTTAAACCAAAGCTATATATAAATCTAATATATATCACAAGTCACGCTTTTCGAGACATGAAAAACGCAATTTGAATTTTGTCAATCGACCCAGTAGAGCGGGAGATATAGAACTGCCCCCTTTTTTTCTCGCAGTATACGTGTCATCTTGTAAAAGAGACCAGCTTGCCAGATGTTGAAATGGAAATGTCTTTCTCATCCTAATGAAAAGAGACATCATCTATGACATCAATGTCCAATATAAGAACAACCTGGCAATTTATCTGGAGTTCGATTCATGCCAACCAAACAGGTTATTTCCTCTTTGTAATGTGACGATGTGAGTACATAAATGGCTTGCCCCAGAAAAATCCTCTACGAAATTATTCTTCCTAAAAAAAAGATAGCTCTCGAGTGCTTTAAGAAAATAAGTGATCCATTCAAATGAAAATTAATTTATTTTACCCTCCAAATTTATTTGCCATTTTTATTAGAAATTGTATTACTATTGTTATATCATAACATTATGTATTTAAATGTTGGTAATTAAAATTTGATTATAAAAGATTAATTTTAAAAAATTATCATGCTGCAAAGTTTTTCAGATTTAACATACAGATGATGAAACTTTTTATTACATTAAAACAGATCGAATTCATGAGCAAAATTTATAATTTTACATACATCCTCGGCCAGTGAATGAAAGCATTTGGAGTACCTTAAGATGCATCAAAGAAAAAAAATAATGCTAAGTTAATTCCGAGATTGTTTACATAATAGTACTAAATTCAAATATCACTTCATATAGAACTATTTTTAATAATATCTAAATTGAATAATTAAACTTAAATGACACATCTTTAAGTATATAATATTTATCAATTTTTAGGTCCTGCACCACAAAACAGAGAAACTACAAATATAGGGAAAACATTCCAGAAAGCTACAGCCGATTTTGAATGCCAGCAAGAAAAAAGCATTCCAATTTATGTATGCTGCTGTTCTTCAGAAGTCTCAAACTCAATGCATGTGTGACATAGATTAATAAAAAAATAATTCATTTATTAAGTTTCCTTATATAAAACCTTCACACATAGCAAATTTTTTTCAATTAAAGTTTGTATTTCAGTATATATATTTTAGTAATCAGTTAAAATCCAAAAAACTGGGGAGTTCAATCTACAAATTTAAATTAAAAATAACTACTTTTTTTACATTTCATATTACAGTCAAAAGTCGTTAATTCGAACACCCATAATCCGGACATCAAAGCTAAAAACTTTCTGCGCATGCGCCGTGTTGACACATGCGCATAGGCGTTTACGCGACTTGATGATTGCGTTGTTCCTTAATCTTCGAATTGGATCCGGCTTATTATTTTTTGCAGACTGTAAAAGCAATTTTATAAAAGTAAACTTGAACTTTCGATTATGTCAAATAGAATTTCCGATGTTGGAGCTCCCAAAGGACTACAAAACGAAAGTATTTCGATGTCCGTCAACAACAAGTTGGAATTGCTGCAAAAAAATGGATAAAGACATGAAGAAGGTGACAGAGACGTTAGTGAAAACGAAAAAATTTCGATTGAAAAGTTCGTCGGTATTTCGACACAGCAATTACGACTTGTACAGCGAAACTTGTAACTGAACAAGAAATATGTCTGTTTCATAGAATTAAAGAGAAAAGTATTATCACATAAAACGAAGCAATTACATGAAAGAAATGTTTAATAAGTAAACAAAAAATCTTAAGCTTTTTTTTGTAAATTTTGATACCCTTTAGATCATAATTGTTCTTTATTTCATAAAATTACGGTTTCATATTTTAATTTTAGAATTTCTGCATGCCATCTTACGAGATTTAAACTGATGATCTATAATCCGGAATCGCCGAAGTCCCGACGAGTCCGGATTAACGACTTTTGACTGTATTTGTTTAGAAACATTTTTACTTGCCATTTTTCACTTATTTTAAAATGGCTATTAATTCAATTCACGTTTAAAGTCAGAAGTCGATTTACCCCTCAATTGTAATCCATGTATCATAACCCTTAAATATTATTTCATTCATAGGTAAGCTCTTTTTATATTCTCTCTAAATCTAAAACCTTTTTTTCCTTTCTAGTTCTTGAGGATTCTTTCACTCTCTACAATCCAAAAGGAAAGAAATCTCTGCTTTTTAAAACTTAAGTTTAGATATTTCCTAACTAAAGGTATGTTCTGCAGAAATAAGTGAAACATGATTTACATTTATCATAAACTACTCTATACTTTTCACTGTTAGAAATATCATCATCTTTATCCTTAAATTGTTCATTCTTTTCTACAGCATCTTCATATTTGATTAATTTTATTATAGCATTTTGCTGCTATTTTCTTATTTGAAAAATTCCAGCATTAAAGAATATAAATGAATAGCATCAAAGATGAAAACAAATAAGTTCTTGATTTTCATCTGCTTTTTACAAATTTTTAATCCAAATATTCTTGCATTGTGCTTTCTGGAAGAAAGGTCGCAGCAAAGTATGTCACATTCAAGGAAAATGGGACTTAAAAAAAATTGCACAGAGATGCCACATTCGCGTAAACCCTGCACTAAGTTCATTTGTGCGTGGCATCACCGTGAATATCACAGTTGCAAAATTTTGACCTCTGTTGTGATATATGGCATATCAGGTAAAGAAAAATGCATGAAATGAAACCATAACTCAAAAATAAATTGTGGGTACGAAATGTTGCAAATTTTTTGTTAACATATCCGGGTCTAAATTAAGATCTAAATAGTCTAAGTCTGCTGAATAGTCATATTCATTCTCTTGCTTTATAATCTCTTTATTTTGGGATATATTTTCAGGTTGTCTGAATCCTGATATTACTGATAATATTTTCACCGACTTCCACGTACTTCTTACCCATTTTGCAACTTCTTCATAACATGTTGTATGCATTTTGCCACTTTTGGTGTAAATGTGTAATTTTTCACTCTTACAGCACTCCCACCACTGTCAACTTTGAAGGATATATTAACTGTCTAATCTAATGGTTGGAAAATGAGTCAAGCCACCAGGAATTATTGCTAAGATCATACACAACTTTTAGTTTTCCCTGAATCAAGTAAATAAGAATACATGTAATCTATTATCAACAATCCATTTGATTGGAAAAAGATCCCTTACGACAGTGCCAAAATTTTTGTAAGCACTCGTGAATGATTGTTTTGCAGAACAATTGCGAACAATGATTGTTTCACAGAACATTTTGGTTCGCACAAATAATTATGTCATTAAGAAAATTTCCCTTCGAAATGATTTTCCTTTTAAAAATGATCATCGACTTTAGATTGTAATTCCAACTGGTCTTTTCTATCTTCTTCGTCACTCCATGGATCTGGGACAAGCAATGAATTCATAACTTGATACATGACCAGATTAAGCAGCTCACATTTCGCTCCAACCCTGGAGAAATATCAACAGCTTTCTGGACAGGGTTAGATAGGATGTCAGCATTTCCATGTGATGATTCTTTTCAATGATGGATAGTGATGCCATATTCTTGGAACCTTTATATCCATCTGGCTACTTGACCTTTGGGATTCTTGAAATTTAATAGCCAGGTCAACGATGCATGATTTGTATACAGAAGGAGTTTTCTGTTATAGAGGTAATGGCGGAAATGTTCTACAGCTCTACCTATAGCAAGCGACTTTTTCCTGGTGACAGAGTAATTCCTCTCTTGCTTAGATAGGCATATGCTTCAGTATGCACACATCATGATCGTTTATTTCTTGGGACAAAATAGTACTGACACTCTCACTTATCCCATCATTTGCAGAGCTTTCTGCAAATGGCGGAAGCATTACTTTTGTCACCAGCATTCAATCCCAATTCTGACATAAAAAATTGTTGTGTGTATGGGTTCGCAACAGATTGAGTGCACACAGAATCGACGGCAGCTTGATAAAATTTATTTTATCAAAAGATACGAGGGCCATCCAGGAAGTAGATTACGTTTCCGTCTGTGTCCGCTAGGGGCGGGGCTAGCGCGGCCATCTTGGGGTCAGAGCGTTGCGCAGCTCAGTCTGCATCTAGCCGTGCTAGTGAGAGGTTCGTGCTGTGCTCCGTTCAGATACTGTGACGGTTTGAAATGTCTGCGTTAATTGAAAATCCCGCGAGCTGCGAGGTGCGCTCAGTAATAAGGTTTCTGACTGCAAAAAACTGTAAACCGATAGAAATCTATCGGCAGCTTCGTGAAGTGTATGGGGACAACATTATCACTGAAGGTGGAGTGCGTCAGTGGGTCATAAGATTTCAAAATGGCCGAACCAATGTTCACGACGAAGATCGAAGTGGGAGACCCAGCATAGTGACCGCCGAACTTCTCGAAAAAGTCGATGCTAAAGTCCGTGAAAATCGAAATTTCACAATAACGGAACTTTCTTTGAGTTTTCCACAAATTTCGCGAAGTTTTGTTGCACGAAATCATCAGCGAAAGCTTGGTTACCACAAGTTTTGTGCAAGATGGAAGGCAAGAAGAGGTAACGAAGTGGTTGAAGGCGCAGGCGGCGGAATTTTTCGACGAAGGAATTTCCAAGCTCGTACATCGCTACGATAAATGCCTTAATTTGTATGGTGAACATGTAGAAAAGTAGTACTTGAGTGTGGCTTTCATCTGTATATAATAAAATTTGTTTCCTATACTTTGTTTATTTTTTTATTCCAAAACGTAATCTACTTTCTGGATAGCCCTCGTATACTTCACCAGTTCTAGAACTTTCTCTACTACAGCTCATACAGCTCTTCACAGAATCACAGAGTGCAATCAGTAGCTGTACTTCAAACTACAGTTGAGTCCCGGTCTAACGTGGACCGAAGAGTGTCTGAGTTTATGAAAATGCTGCGTTATCGGGAAAGGTTTTAAAAAAGAATAAGGACGAGTGTTTCCTCAGAAAATGCAGTACTTGTATGTGTGAGTTACATGAGAATACAACAGTCTATAAAGAATGCAATAGTGTAACTCAAACTGCCCTAATACCCTTAAACAAAACGGATAAGTACGTACTTTATGAAAACATAGAGCCTTTACTAACGAAAATTAGTTAATACACAGTCTACAGTAATTTATCAAAGCATACAGCTGCCTATAATGAAAATTTGCTAGCTGACTAACTAGCAAAAACTGGCTACTTTTTAAAAAGAAATGCGTAATATCCTGTTGTACTGCACTTGCGCTTTGGTGCTTCATCGTAAGAAAACAACGAAGGAACAGTAAGTCTATTGCCAATGTACCTTGTTGTTCAAATACTGAAGAGTGGTTTCAACAACCTTTATCCCTCATCATGTGATATTTTAGAGGCTTGTATGGTGGAGTACTCAATGTCTTCATCATTTTCTGACATTTCTTCATTAACTGTGATAGCAGTCACAATTTCCTCATCAGACATAATGTCTTGCTCGGTATCATTTTGGAACCACAGTTCGACATTATTTTCCTTGGCTACTACATATCCAGGACATTTTTCAAGAGGAATAGTTAAGTTCACATTTTTGGTATTATGTTCAACGAACTCATTTCCCTCGTGATGAAGGAGTTTTCTTCATGAATGAACTAATGTTATTAACTCTAAACTTGTTCCAGAGATTTGCCACCCATCCTACAACATCCAATAGGTTAATTTTCTTTGAGTTCTGGATAAGACTTTAACCATCTTCATTTGAAGAAGGGAGGATAACAGCTTGCGCCTATATGTTCTCTTGAGACTAACCAAAATTCCCTGGTCCATTAGCTGGCATAACACTGTGGCATCATTAGGTGGTAAAAAACATTCTCTGTATGTCTCCATTTTTTAACTCTTCATGATCTGATTGCGAAGACGTGTTGTCCAAAATCAGAATAGTCTTCTTTGACAGGCTTTTAGATTTTAAAAACCGCTCAACTGATGGAACAAATATTTCATGGAACTATTCTTTCAAAATTGTACAGCTCATCCAGGCATTTGACTGGTATATGTACCAAACGGAACGATTATCCATTTCAATGTGCTTAAATGCATGTGGTTTCTTTGTTGTGGTCACCTTGCTTCTTTTTGAAACCAGAGGATGACTGTTCTTCCTTGAAAGCAAGGATTTTTGCTAGTAACAGTTTATAATATAACTCTGTTTCATCACAATTGTACAATTGCTTTTTCGTCAAATGTTAAAACTTTGTTAAATTTCTAAACGTTTTCCTTAAACTGAGACAGCAGAGTCAGGAGCTATATTCTGGTGCTTTGCAGGAAGCTGTCTTCACTGTGACAGCCTGATAACCTGAAGGCTGTGCTGCTGATCGTGTCAGCGTGTTTACAGTAGTTCATCGACGACTGTAAAATGTGTTTTGGAGCTGTCCTGACAGTACTGGTAAATAAAGTGTGTTTTGATACTTCATCAAGTGTCATTGTTATTCACTCCAAATCTACGAACCCTGTATGAACATGAAGGAAGAAAAATCGTAACAATATGTTAGCCAAAAAGATATATTTATAAATCGAGAAATACAAATTTAACATACTCTTTAATGCAGTGGAATGCTATCAAATTTAATTTATAATTAAAATTTTTAGTTTTTACCTGTTTAAAAAAAAATAACAAATCTTTTTAATGCTCATATCTAATTTGCTATAGCAGTTTGATATAGTCAGACATTCACATTTTCATTTAAGGTAAGATGTATATGCAGAACTAGGAAATAATTGACAGGACAAATTTTGCTATTTCATGGAACCTGGAAATTATAATTTTTGCCGCTGATTTTCTTGAACTGAATTTCTTGAATGCCTGATTTCATCTTCGAACAAGTACTGTAGTTGCATTTATCTTATTTTTCTAATCTTTTTTAAACTAAATACAGCTGATTGCTGACTTTTTCAGCACGCAGATTTCTCAATATAATATTAATTCAGAAATAAGCCCTTTTTAGCAAAACATTCTTTCCTTAAGCGAGCATTCATCGCTACTTCTGCCGCCATTAATTTTTGGTGACTACACCTGATTGCTCCTTTTTTACCACGTAACCACAACGCATCCACAGAGATACCGATAGAAATTGAACATTGTTGAACTCCATCTGTACGTCATCCGTCACCGTACATCGACTGGATTGCAGACGTCAATCAAAGTGAATTCGCTCACTGATTGGAGAAACGCATACGCAGTAGTGGAAACAGGCCATTAGTGGCCTATCTACTCAACCATTCAGAATGAAATTTCAGATATTGTTATTTGAAGGTATGTACTTGAGATTGTGATGATGATTTAAAACAATAGAGCTCTCATGGTTATGGTTACAATAAAAAAATTGAGAAAGCACCCACTTTTTTCTTGTGCAAATTAATCAGTGCATAAAAAGGTCAGGGGGAATAACAAATAATTCCAATGACAGCATTAAAATTGAAGATACACTGATCAGCATATTGTTTAAAAAAATGTATGTCAGAACTTCACAAAGATAAAACTTCCACATCTAGAAACATTTTGTCAAAAATTTATTCCACTTTTGCACAGAGCTACAATTTGATTTAGATAAAAAGGGTCTGTCTTGTAAATAACAAGGAACAATCATAAAATTGTAACCAGTACAGGAGTGGTATAGCTAAAGATATAAAATATCAGACATGTAATTGAATTATAAATAAAAAATGAAGGTTGGCATGAAAATAAATGATAATTAATCTAAAATATATTTACATGAATCTGAGATGAAATTTAAATCTATTACAGATATGATTATATAATACAAAATGAATCTGAGATGGGAATAAGAAACGTTTTTTAACAATCAGGCACCTTTTACAATTATATATAAAATTATTAAACAAAATATATTTAATAATTTATTTTAAGTTAAAAGATTATTAAATATAGCATTTAAAATTTCAAGAATAACCCAATTAATAAAAATGACATGATATCAACTATGTGAGTGTTAAACTATCAAAACAAATACAATAGAAAGGGTGATTAAAATCTCTAAATATTTAACTGTATATCTTATATAATTCACCTAACGTTTGAACAAAATGAATATTTACTTATAATCATAAAATGTTAAATCTGACATATATGAAACATAATACAATAGTCATAAATGGGTTAATTAGGAACTTTCTTTTAATGAAAACACTATACATCCTTTGAAACAGGTTTAATAGTTTATAATCTGGGAATAATTCCGACACACAATTTAGCTAAATGCACTTGTTTCTCAGATTCATGGGAAATATAATGAATGAAAAAGATATCTTTAAATAATAGATATATTTACACTATGTTTCAAACAGTACGCAAAATAACCATCTAAATACCAACCAGTTATCTAGAAAATGCACATATTTGCAGCATCTGGCATTTTATTCCCATTTTTGCAAAATAGAATTCGAAATATTTAAAATCACAGTGCTTTTTGTTTAACAATTCGGCAAACATGTTGCTGACTCCATAAAATTTCTTGCACTCTGTACAATGATAATATTGACATCATAAAAAAATGATACTACAGTCCAAAAATGGCGGCAACTATACATTCACCAACAAATGAGATTATACAATTAAAAAATATCAAAACAATTCTCTGTGATAATCAAAGCTATAAAGTAAATGATTTTTTACATAGTGAAAAAAGGGGATGAATAAATGAGAAGACATTCATGTACAAATGCTGATATGAAGCTCCAAATGTCACTGCAATGTTTAACTCTTATGGTTAGACCTGGCTTTACTCAACTTCATATTTCACGCGCGGCACTGATAGCACCGGGCACTTGGCTTCTTTAAACTTTTTGTACCTTCCACACAGATTAAAATGTTGAATGATGATGGATGAAGAGAAATGCAATTACTTTGTTTTCAACTATGAGGCGTATCATCTTCTACAAAATCTCTTGCCTCCTCCTGGCTAACTGCTTCAATGTGACTGACCTGAAAAAGATGTAACATTTACATGACAAAAAGGAAGAAAAATCAGGTTTAAAATTATCATGAACTTGTCAAAGTATGATACAAAAAATTAAATTTTGCTTATCTCATTAGCATATATTACCAATAAATTTATAATAATTTTCAGAATGTTAGTAATAGAATATATATTGATCAATTACTTTCTAGACAAAATAACAGAATACACATGTATCGGTAATGTATATCCAGGGCTAGCTGCAAAGCTCACAGAAATACTAATAACTGATATATGAGTAATTCATTCATAAATTTTTTAAGTAATACTAAAGCCTCCCAGAGAAATAAAGATCCATTTAAAATTTTAAAAGACATCAAAATAAAAAAAAGCGGTTTGACTTGCGTATGCATATATGAATACAAACATACATATACTGTGTCCTGAAAATAAGACCCACTCTTAGATTAATTTTTGCTGGAAAAGGCAAGCTAGGATGTATTTCAGTCTTATTTATCATGTACATTAATTAACATTGTTCGTGTTCAAGAAACTTATTTCTTCAGGTTCAAGAAACATTCATAAATGAATAAAACATTTATTTGAATACAAGCATGTTGTCTTTTTCTGGAACACTGTCATAAAGCTCCAAATTATGAATTCTGGCTTCAATTTTTTAGACTTCATTTCCTCTAAGACCACTGGCCCTAGCCTCTTATGTTGATCAACAGAGCTCTTCTTGTCCATGTAGCCTGCTTCTAAGGCACTGGCGACACAGCCATCCATTTTATTCCATGCATCCTTCATCCAAGTAACGACTTCTTGTAGCTTAGGTTTCACAAAGTTTTCTCGTTAATTTCTTTCCAGTCTGTTTCCAATGTAGTCATTGATTTCCATGCACAAATGATTTTTAAATGGCTTGTTTATTACAATATCAAGAGTTTGAAGATATGCAGTCATTCCTGCAGAAATCGTTATTTGATCAATTCTTCTTTCTGTAAGGAAGTTCTTCATGGTTTGAGCATGGTGAGGTGCTGCCAGAATTTCACACTAGCATACCCCTTTGGCCACCTTGCAAAACAAGTGGCAAAAATAAATTGACCCACTTTCTTATTGTTTGCTTTCAAGCTTTCTCAGTCTCAAGAACATAAATACGAAACACATTCAATTTTCCTCTTTCTTGCCCTTAGAGGTGATTAGAAAGAAGTTACTTTCCACTGAGACAAATTGCTAAGATACATGCAATGTGTGCACGTTCATGGAAGGAATGCACTTTGTAGAGGCACTTCTCTGATCAATGGTAGTTTGAGACCAAAACCCATAAACATGACAGTCTCATCTACAGCAATCATGTTCAAAAGTTGGTACCAGGGTACTAAGTCAAATGAAACACTTGAATACAAGTGCACATTTAATTATTTCAGTTTATTCCAATTTAAACACACTGTTTTCGATCTTTTTAGAGACAGTTTATGTCGCTGAAGTAAGCTATCCACCCAGTGTTCTTGAATTGGCCGGCAATATATCTAGCTGTGGTGTCATTCCAAAGGCAGATACTTGAATATCAGCCATGTGAACAACCAAATTTTTTGTTCTTCTGTCAACAATCAATTCACAGATGATGTGCTCCCATTTGGAAAGTAACGACTATGACCTGATGCACTCTTATGCCTCTTGGCCTTTCCTTTGTTGACTTGTTGACTGAGGTTACAATATTTTGATTGCCACTTTCAGACCATTTGCAGATCCAATTTCATTTCTTTGCAGAAAGCTGTAAGATTTTTATCCCTGGATTCTTCCACAATTCCTTTCTTCTACCAGATGAAATAACTCTTTCATTTTGCACTCATGTTATCTTAGCATCAAGATTTATTATCCTTTAAACTTAATACTAACTCAAGTGCTAAACATCCATTGCTGACACAAAGTATTCAACATTAAAGATTCTAATTTGTCACAGCTACATCCATTTCTTTCAAATATGCATCTGGGTGCTGTTTACTGTGTCCTGAAAAATAGACCCACTCTTAGATTAATTTTTTGCATGGGTTTTGCTGGTTGAAAAGAAAAAAAAAAAAAAAAAATTTATGACTTTTTTATGTACATGCGAAAGGTCGGGAGAATTAATCCCTCGGGATTCATTTTATTTTTGAAACAAGTGTGTCTTGTTGTTAAACAATTTATTGTAAAAAAACATGCCAAATTATCATTCTGCTTGAAAGTTTTTTTTTCTCAAAAAATGTCGCTCTTATGTGAGCAACAGAAACCCCACCTGTGGGAACCATTATTTATCCTCACCTTCATAAAGCTTTCTTTTTGTGTCTTTCCCTTTTTGGTTCCCTTTTGTTGCCTTCGTCTATTAACACGGCCCTATTTTAATGGCGGGTTTATTACCCGTCAGAGGTTTTATTGTGCTCCTCCAATCGCCTTCTTTCGGGGGAAGTGTTCTGGTTTAGGGCAGCGTGAGTTGCTCAGAAGTTTCAACACGCATACCCTGCACCTTGCACAAAACAGTGGGCAAAAAAAATTGACCCCACCTTCTTTTGTTTGCCCCCAAAGCTTTCTCGTCTTAGAACATAAATACGAAACACATTATTTCCTCTTTCTTTCCTATAAGAGGTGATGGAAGAGTTGAACTTCAGAACAAAATTAAAAAATTAATCCAATGTTGCATTTCATGGAAAAATGTTTTGCTAGAACTTCTCTGATTTTTTGAGACCTCCAAATAGGATCCTAAGGAAAAAAAAATGGTATACTTCAAATGAAACTGAATCGTCAATTTAATTATTTCAGTTTTTTTTTAAACACCCGTGTGATCTTTTTGCAATTTTCGCTGGTCCTTCTTCTTTTGTTTTTGGTCTCTATATCTCTTGTGTTCTTCGCTTTTTTATTGATATTAGTTCTTTTTTTCTTTGTCCTTTCAGGATGTTTTTCCCCATTTTAAATCAAAGGACTTATGAGTGATGCACTCTTATGTTGCCTTCTTTTTGTGCTTGTTCCTTGAGTTCTATTTTGAATTGCCACTTTGCAGGACCATTGCTTCTTTTTTTCTTGTTTCTTTTTTCCGATTCCCCACATCCTTTCTTCTTACCAGATTTAACTTTTTTTTATCTTTTCTTGCATCTTTTATCCTTTTCTTATACTTCCTCTTTTAAAATCATGCCACTCTTTTTCAACCTAAGATTCATCTTTGTCACCACCTCTTTTTCTTGCATCTTGTGTTCTTACTTGGTATAAATTCGGCAAAGTAAAAGTTCTGTTGGAACAATATCTAAACAGGGCTCATACAAGGGCTAATTTGCACATTTTTAAAGAGAATTTGCTTTGCTTTTTTTATGACGGGGGCTTTGAATGCAGATTTATTTTTTTTTTTTTCTGGGTGGTTGCTTCTTTTCTTATTTTATTTTTGTTTTGCTTGTTGTTTTGTTTTTTTTCAAAATGCGCTTTCTGTCATATCTGTGTGTGTTATTTTTTTTAGGCAAACAAAATTATTCATAAAATTGTTTAAAAAAAGTTGTGGAAAGCACTTTTTTTTTTTATTACCTGTTTTTTCTTTTTCTTTTTTCTTTCTTGCTTGTTTTTTTCTTTTCCTTGGTTGCTTGTTTGTATCTTTTGGCCTTTTATTTTTTTTTTTTTTTTTTTGTTTTTTTTTTTTTTTTTTTTTTTTTTTTTTTTGTTTTTTGTTTTTTGGTTTTTTTTTTTTTTGTAAGGTGTGTTTTTTTTTTTTTTAGGTGTTATGCGACACGGGGAGGCTGGGAGCTTGATAAGCTGCTGCTGATAAATTTTGGCCCCAACATTCCACATGTTTACTACCCGGGAGGGTGTCTTACCCCAGCACGTGTTTGATTGTTATGAAAAAGGTCTTATTGGTTATTGGAAAAACAGTCTTCTTGACCTCCGCTCATTACTATTCTGAAGGAGGACGAAAATAAGAAAAGAAAAACTTGGTTGTGGGCCCGGACTTAACCATTTACTTCTACAACGTCCAAAAAGCCTAGAAGATGTGAGAAGCGTTTTGTGATTAATAAGAAGCATTTAAAAGGGGATTCAGTATTGGAAGCTATCATTTACCCTAAGGCTAAGACTCTCTACTTGAACTTTATCCAAAAAACACCAGGTACGCCGACTGAAGGTGAGATGGCATTTAAGGCAAGCTATGGATGGTTCAAAAAAGAGAATTAGTGCTCAGAGTGTTATGAGACACGGGGAGGCTGTGAGCTCTGATACAGCTGCTGCTGATAAATTTCGGCCAAAGTTCCCATTGTTTACTACTAGTGAGGGTTCCTTCCCCAGCAAGTGTTTAATTGTTATGAAACAGGTCTTTTTTGGAAGAAAATGCCTAAGAGAACCTACATAACACAAGAGGGAAATATTTGCCTAGCCACAAGCCAATGAAGAATAGGCTTACCCTCTCGTTTTGCACCAATGCAAGTGGATATTGTAAAATCAAGCTATTGCTCGTCTCCCACTCAGAAAATTCATGAGTTTTCAAGAGGGGGAAGGTGCAAAAAAACCAACTGAATATAATGTGGCGGGCCAAAAGCAAAGCCTGGGTAACACGGCAATTTTTTATCGAGTGGGTCAGTTAAGATTTTGGTCCCTCGGTGAAGAAATACCTTCAAGAAATACCTTTTGTTTAACCTCGGTGAAGAAATACCTTTTGTTTAAACCTCATTGATAAGGCTTGAGAAGAAGTCTCAGCGAGGACCCTGAATTCAGCATGGAATAAACTGTGGCCTCAGAGTATTTCTGACTTGGGCAACACAAGAAATTGTATTTCTGGGGAAAAGTATGGGTCTGGATGAGTTAGTGAAGGAGCATAGTGAAGAACTTACAATGGACGAACTTAAAGAACTATACAAGCAGCAGCAACAAAACGTGGTAGAAGAGATTCTTTTAGGGAAGGAGGGAACAGGAGATGAGGCCCTCTCTTCCAGTAAGATTAAAGAAGTACTGGCAATGTGAGAAGAAGTGAAAACTTTCTTTGAAAAAAATCACCCTAATAAAGCAGTATGTGGAAGCACCATGACATTGTGTAATGACAATGTAGTGTTGCATTTCAGAGGCTTCTTAAAAAGAAGACAGAAGCAAGTGTTATTAGATAAGTTTTTCATAAAGCAATCTCCAACTAAAAGAAAGTTAAGTCATTTTGACCCAGAACCTGCTTCCAGTAGGATAAAATTACAAGAAGAAAAGGCCTTCATGAATCAGATGGGGACTCTCTTTAACCATAATAACCCATTTCGGCTTCCCCCACATCCCTATCTCTTCATAAGTAAAGTTATTTACCAGTGTTATTTATTAGGAAAATTGACTTTTATGTTGATATCTTTGGGGTTGTGGAACAGATTACCTGGATTTCCATTGTTTTCAGTGGGGAAGTTTATTTCTAGGTATGAGAAATTCACTATATGAGCTCAATGCTGGAACAAATTAAAACTCGTATCTCGAGGTTCCACTGTAATAGCATATTAAAAATAAAGAGAATGGGGAAAATGTTAAGATGAACTCAACATATTATCAAAAACATATTTTATACCCAATTTTCAAATAGAAATGCCTTCTCTTTACACATAGTGTGATCAATCAGTAGAACTGCATCAAGACAAATCAAGCAGTAACACGTCAAAATCTACTTTTCAAAATCTACAATTTCCTGGAAAAAATGGAACATGAAATAGGTATCAAGGCCATAACTCTTCACTCATATCCCTACTAAATCTCCTGGTCTATCACCAATGTATTTTTGCGCTTTCGAACTGAAGCGGGTTGTACAAACATCAACCTACAACCTCTTTAGACTTTGGAAGGCTGTTAGAGAGTAATCGGTGTCTTGGAAATTACGGCGTATAAAGATAGTGAAGAACAAAGGTTTATCAAACAGAACGTTTAAAGCAAAAAAATTTTAGGTAAAATATTTCTGTAATTACAATGAAAATTGTCTAAAAAATATGCAAACAGCTTCAGTATTAGGAATACCCTAAAAATTATGCTAGGGCACATGTTTTTATTAGGTCTTATTTTAGGAGGAACATGATATATACAAATACATACATAAAACATACCTTATTCCTAAATTTCACACCATAAAATTTGTCTGCTTTCTCTAAAAGCTCTGGCCGGAAAGTAGTAGTGATAAATTGGGCATCTTGGCAGAGTTCATGAATCATATCTATATAAAGATTTTAATATGATAAATATCAAATTGCACTAAACAGAATACATAAATATCAAAAATGATATCCAGAAGATAGAAGGGAAAATGATTCTTTTGTGCAAACAATATAGACCATTATTTAAATTTCATTAATTAAAAGATTTAATTGACATAATTAAACGTCATACAAGTTATCAGTTTAGTTTATTTCTAGTTGTAAAAGTGTAAGAAAAATGTTGCTAACTCAGTACTTATATCATCATCTTACAAAGCAAAAATATACGTCATCATTAAAGAAACATGATGTTTCCAAGAAAATCATACATGGCAAAATTGTATTTACACATTCCACAAAATCGTTAAACAAAACAAACAAACAAACAAACAAACAAACAAACAACAAAAAAAAAAAAAAAAAAAAAAAAAAAAAAAAAGCACACCTGTCATGATAACCATATATTGCCAGATAGCACATGCATGTAATATGGACAGCTATTTATTTGAACATCTTTGCAGCTAGCTGTGCAGCTAACTCTACCATAATTCTCATTTTTAAGGAAGTTTTAAAATGTCATACATTTAGTCTAACCTTTCGAATTGCCAAATGTCAGCAAAAGAAAATTCCTCCAAAAGTCCCCCCCCCACACACACAAACAAATTACTTTATGAATACCATCAAAATAACAGATACAGTTGAAGGGCATATGAAATAGAGAAGAGTTGATTCCCTTTCTTTTATATATCATAAGCTGTCAATTCTTAATCTTAACTCAGCATAAACTTTGAGTATCAGCATCCTCATTTTGATATATAATGTACCAAATTCCCTTTAAATCAACATCTAAAGAAATGGCATAAACCCAGCAATATTTTGGTATTTCAGAGCTACTAAACTACTACTGTTGAATTTAGCATTTGGCTCAAGAGTTGCGATTAGTTCTGAGACCTGGGACAGCTTGGCACAGAACATATTCATTAGCACAGAAGGCAAGGAAAACAAGAGCTTTCTGTGTTAGAAAAATACATTCACTGAACACTTTCTAGTGGAAATTGGCACATATTTATGTTGTGTATGGGAAAACAACTAAAAACCACAAAACTAAAATGCAGCCAAACAGTTCACCAAACCCTGAACAAGATTGGAATTCAACAGTTTTATCTAACTAAGCCACTGATGGGTCTCGGAACAGTCTAGAGCAGGGTTTCTTAAACTTCTTTCAGTTGCGACCCATTTTTATCACTGAGATTTTTTTCACGACCCCCCCCAGGACCCCATAATATTTTTAAAAAATTTAAGGAACCCCATAAGTGTTGTGCAAATCTGACACACGTGTGAGTGAACTGCCAATTTTTTCACTTGTAATATACTACTGCAGTTTTAGGTCATTAATTTTAATTCCTAATTTTAAGACATACAACAAAGTGAAAATTTTAAATAAGTAACAGACGAAGTAACAGCGGTACGTGCAAAGCAAGTAAAATATAAAAAATGCCGTGGTTCACAAAACAAATATTTATTACTGAGATATGCAGAATTACAAGCAAGCAGAGAGAGAAAGAGTTTACAGAGGTCATATATATAACTTTACAACAGATCATGGTTTAACAAATCATAAACAAGACACAATAAATAACCAATCAAAAATAACATAAAGAATGAGATTAAGTTTCAGAATAATTCGGACCTGACCGAAAGCTAATGAATGTATCAGACGTGACAGAAAGCTATACTTCCTTTTAACCAGTAAGAATGCGATTAGAAATATATCAACAGCGTCAAAATGTTTTCGTTCTTTTTTTTTTTTTTTTGTCTGTATTGTCTTATCTTTATCTATTTTCAGATACAATGTGTAAAAATAATTTGGTAATTGAAAATTTTTTACAGGGCTGCCACTAAAACAGGAAAATTAAATTCCCTAACTTTTTCAGGTTTTCCAGGTGTGTTTTAAGAAAATTCCAGTCTATCCTCGTAATGCACAATGGCTGTGCTAAGAGATAAATTAATTATGGTACTACTTGAAAAAAAAAATACCAATTATATATGACTTATATAATCCCCAAAGCATTACTATTATAACTATAATAGGAGTTGTTTTCTCCACTACAGTTTGAGATTGAAATCTGCCCAATCTGGATTAAAAATTCCCCCCCCCCAAGACATTTTGCAACTAAATGAAAGAAAAATCTATATAATGATACATTTAAATAAATTCAGGTATTTTATATTTATTTAGTAGCATGCATAAGAAAAAAATATGTGCATTAAATTTCGTGATGGTATGCCATCATACTGCTAAAATTAATTTCAGGATTATGCAGAGAAAATTTCCTGAAATTTGAAAGTATTATTTACTAATAAATAAATTTAGAGAGAAGAAGCAACATTAAATAACACAAATAACATTAAAATAAAAATAATTATTTAAAAATTGAATTAGAATAATCAACGATATTTTGGCGAATATAGTTGATTAAATGGTTAGCCTAGGTGATTGATTACTATTTTTTTATTTTACTGCAAAATGACAAAAAAGGCATTTATTAAAAAAAAAAGGGGGATTAAAAGATTTTGCGATAATATCCGAGTACACGCTACAGCCTTGGCACGATTTTGAAAATTGCCGGTAACACCAAAATGATCTGTTTACTGTTCATCATAATATCCCCAAATCCTGTGTATACAGTACATGGAGGCTATTCTAACCTCCATAGTACCCTATGCTGGGATTGAACCGATTTTATTTTATACGAGAATACGTATTTTCCTTAGTTCAACATGCACTGCATATGCACATGGGAGCCTCTGGATACTCGAGGTTACTGGAAACTTGCTTTGCCTTTCTCTTAAGGCAATCTGATTGGAGCTACAAAAATTGGCTCTATGCCAGCTGACCGAATGATGCTCACGCGATACATAATTCAGAAAATGATCGCTTCCAGCGTCGGCGCAAAAGTCGCTTTTATGTGGGGGTAAGCCGTATGAAATTCCCTGACTTTCCAAGATTTTGACTAAAATATTTAAATTCCCTGACTTTTCCCCGAATTTTTTGGTCGATTTTCAAATTCCCGGTTTTAATCTGCTATTATTACAAGTTAAAAAATATCAAAATTGCTAAAATTTTTGGCAACTCACAGTTTAAGAAACCCTGGTCTAGCAAAATAACAATGGGCATAGCATTTACTATCTGGATTTTTTTAAATAATTGTTTTCATTTAAAGAATTTTGCATATATGACATGTCAAACACATTCTATACTTTTATGCAATTTGCTTGCTGATGTTATACATCAATATTGCACTATTTGCCTGTAAAACCTTCCCGCAGCCACCAACCCCCCCCAAAAGAAACCAAGTGTTTTTATTCACTAGTAATACACATCATATTATGCCAATTATGAGAAAAATGACAATGACAATCAATCACTTACATAAAGTCTTATACACATGCCTTTACATAAAGTCTTAGTTGCATCGATGATGGGTAATAGAAATTATCATGATTATAGGACTCAATAATAAGACAGCCTCACATATAAAAAATCTTTCCCCCCCTTTTTTTAAGTTTTAAAAGAAAAAGAATTGTATGTGTTTGATGGCCATACATATAACAAATACTAAACAGCTGCAGTTGCCTTCCAAGCTTGGTGTACTGAGAGAATTCTACTAGAACACTTTATTTGCATACTCTACAAAATTTAGAAACAAAATAAAACTGAAGAAATAAGGTGATTTAGATAAAGCATACTTATCAACCTACAACACACATGCACACACACAAAAAAAGTCCCCCCCTTTTTCCTCAAACAAAAAGATTTTTTAAATGATAAAAATATACACTCTGGCACAAAAAATATATGCACCTAAAAGGAAACAAACTACTATTATGAAACTTAACATGTATGTACTGCACGAGAACATGAACAAACAATTACAAATTCAGAACAAAAAAGCACTTTAATAAGAAGTTATGGCATGAAAAAATGTTACATATTAATACGAGGGCTATCCAGAAAGTAGATTACGTTTTGGAATAAAAAAATAAACAAAGTATAGGAAACAAATTTTATTATATACAGATGAAAGCCACACTCAAATACTACTTTTCTACATAGTCACCATACAAATTAAGGCATTTATCGTAGCGATGTACGAGCTTGGAAATTCCTTCGTCGAAAAATTCGGCCGCCTGCGCCTTCAACACTTCGTTACCCTCTTCTGCCTTCCATCTTGCACAAAACTTGTGGTAACCAAGCTTTTTGCTGATGATTTCGTGCAACAAACTTCGCGAAATTTGTGGAAAACTCAAAGAAAGTTCCGTTATTGTGAAATTTCGATTTTCACGGACTTTAGCATCGACTTTTTTTTTTTTTCGAGAAGTTCGGCGGTCACTATGCTGGGTCTCCCACTTCGATCTTCGTCGTGAACATTGGTTCGGCCATTTTGAAATCTTATGACCCACTCCCCCCTTCAGTGATAATGTTGTGTCCCCATACACTTCACGAAGCTGCCGATAGATATTTCTATCGGTTTTACAGTTTTTTGCAGTCAGAAACTTATTACTGAGCGCACCTCGCAGCTCGCGGGATTTTCAATTAACGCAGACATTTCAAAAAACCGTCACAGTATCTGAACTGAAGGAGCACAGCACGAAACCTCTCACTAGCACGGCTAGATGCAGACTGAGCTGCGCAACGCTCTGACCCCAAGATGGCCGCGCTAGCCCCGCCCCTAGCGGACACAGACGGAAACGTAATCTACTTCCTGGATGGCCCTCGTAAATAGTACAACCAGTCTGGCAGCTATAAAAGCCGAAACACGACATGTCTTAAAATCAAGTAGGTTACCTATGACCCCTTATGGAAGATCATGTCATAATGTTTGCAACTGGGCAGTTAATTCACCAATATTCCAAAACAGCTGCAGTTGCCTTCCAAGCATGTTCCAAATGTGCTCGATTGGTGACCTGTCAGGCCACAGGAGTACATTATATCCTTGAAGACACTGTTAGGAGAGTC